TGTCTTCATGCTGGCTATAGACGTACAATGTTTCTTGCTTTCTCTCACTAGTTCAAGTCAAAATGGTGTGCGAATTCTCTATTATATTCTGAGGAGTTTAGGTCACCATCTAGGTTAGGTTAGGATCGGTTGCGAATTCTCTATTATATTCTGACTAGTTTAGGTCACCATGTAGGTTAGGTAATCTCTTTAATTCTGCTATCAGTATGTAAGTGATAAATGCCGCTATTCGGCAATGCCTGCTAATGCATATGACTGGATGGTTTTATTACTCTATAGAAACTGTCCACATGATAACAGTACTGGTATCGGCAAAAGGTGTTTATATGATGTACATTCAAGCTATGTTTTGTGCTAGGCTGTGTTAATCGACTACAAGTGTTGTTAAATGTTTTAGTTAGATTATGAGTAGCGAGAGAAATTTCGATTTGGAGCAGCGCAATGACCGTCTGTTTGTTAATCTATCGAAAAATGCACCTGTGCCAGTTATTATGTCTTTATACGGTATTATTCAACATCCTCAGCGGGCAGAAAATGATACGTTGCGTCTTATATCAAATATAGTAGAACATAAATATGACATATCATTTTCATTGAAGGATTTGACAATATTGATCGAAACCTTTCGCACTTCACCGTTGTATTCGAAATACCTTCAGTTAAACGTGAACATCGATGCAACCATCAAAGAATTTCAAATACTATTATGCCGCATATATTATGCCGTTTACTCGTGTTTGTGTGGAATGCGTTGAACGTCCGCAGTTGAAACTCTACGAATTAAATAGGTTTACATTATTTGATGAGTCCAGTGTTGACACATGTTCAGTTTGGTATGGCTATTGTACCTGTTGCAAGTGTTCTTATTATTGCAATAGTCTATCATACAGCGGTTCAAAGTGTAATTTTGTCACGCGTGAATCATTCAAGTTTAATGAATTTATCTATTTTCATGGTATATCAACTGTCTATCACCAACGTGTTATGATATCATTTGTATCAGCATTACTGAGCATGTGTTCATCTGTATCGGGGTTTGTTAAATGGTACAATGATAAACTAGATATCTATCAAAAGTATTCGTTCAGTGGTGGTACAAGTAGTTCCAGATCAGTTAGTAAACAAAGTCGAAAAACGGATGAGAAACATTTTCAAATAAATTTCTTAATGTATGAAATTATAAAATTTATTTTCATGTTTATCGAAGTTGATCGTATTGAAATCCCGATCTCTTTTACAAATGCTGATGATGCTAATATGTTTTTTTATCAATGGAAGGATCGTTGCTATGCTGCATTTGTCCGTTTTTGGATGGAGCACAAGAAGATATTTGGTTCGGTGTGCAGTGAAACATGTTCGATATGTTTAGTGGTAGATGGCCATCAGAAACCAGATCGTCCTATATGCAAGTTTAATAATTGTTTCGATAATACTATCAATGAGCTAGGTCCTGTACTTGTTGGTTGTCCGTATTCCAGTGTTAGAAATATAGCTAAAGAGTTTAAAGTCGCTCTAACATAATTTGTTGCTACTTCTTTTCACTTATGTATAGATGGTCGCAGCCCTCATCATTTGTGTTCAAAACATATCAAGCAACTTAATCTTGCTTTGGATGAAAATGCGTTGCGATTTGAGAAGAGTGATGATCTCAACGGCATTGATCAATGTAATATTAAGCGTCATAAATTGATGAATCATAGCGGCCGAAAATCCTCTTATGGTATTCTCATGTCATTTCTAAATTGTGGTCTTGTAGTTGGTTTTGACGAATCCATACGCTCAGAATCACCGCGTCGGTTGCTCCGACATTTAATTCGTATGGCAAAAATATCAATGATTCCACGTGGTGTTGTCTATGATAATGCTTGTTCTATTAAACTATATATGGACGCTAATTATGGTGGTGATTATTTTCAACGTTCGAGTGTTTCTGATTATTTAATGAATGAAGTCCATTTTGTCTTGGGCCGTTTTCATGAAAAAACACATGTTCGCCACATGTGTAAGAATGAAATGCGTTCTGATCATTCTTCACATCATGCAATGTTTAACGGATGTGATAGTGTTGTTGCGGAGCAAACGTTTGCCGTTTTTTCGCATTTTAAGCATCACTGGGCAAATTATTTTTATCCGAAAAGTCTTATTTTGTATTTGGTTTTTTTTCATTTGTATAATTGCAAACTGGTTGGATTCGATACGAATAAAATGAGTACGTTTTTTTAATAATATGCATAACTTCCCATAATGTGATTGGTGATTTTTCCGCTGTTTTCCTGTTTCAGATATTACTGTTATGCCCGATAAACTTGTGATAACAGCCAAAATGGCTCAACGAATCGTTAATAGCCGTAAACGAGCTATAACACTTCGTAACTTGGCGACTTTTAACGATCGCCGTGAAATTACTTGCCACTCACATACTGCGCTGGTCTGGGATGATTCGTTTACTGATGAAGAGTTACTAAGATTGTGTGAAGAAGCCGAACGTGCTCTACATAACGATAAGAACACTTTGGTTAATAAAGAAAAAAGGTATTTGTACCCGTTCTGTAGCTGTTTATTCTCTGTTTGAGTGGTATCACTATTCGATTCTCCTTGTTTTTTAGCAGTCGAACTAAAGCTATGGGTAAAAGCGAAACACATCTTGTTGATGGCGATGTATGGTCATTTAGACTTGATGATAAACCATTGATGGATGTTGATTATAATGAAAGTAGATTTGACACACCAGTGCTATTAGTCAATACGATATGTGATGGTACTGTTGCCGGTGTGTTAGGTGTCACAGAACGAAATGTCATTACTACTAACGCTTCAGAAAGTATAACTGAAAATTTTTTTGGCACTATTAATGGTAGCGCTGTGGTTTTGAACGGTATACCGACATTGACAAATCGAGGTTCAATATTATATAGAGCATCTGATTGTTTGAATACATATAACTAAAAGTCATAAGAAACCTATATGGTGACCTGAGACAGTCAGAAAATAATAGAGAATTCCCAAGCACACCATATACATCAATACGCATTACGACCATCCATTGCATACCGAAATGAATTCCCAGAGAATGCGAATTCATTTTTTAGAAAGTCAAATTCTCGGCGAATGTGTATTTTCCAGGCTATGCTCCATCCCGTATAAAACGCTACAAGGATATCCACTACGCCGTCCGAACCACTGAACTGTCCCATTTTGACCATTCGTACTTCAGTCTTTTGAGCTATGTCTTTGTTTTACAAGACTTTTGTTTGTTGTTTCGCTCTTTTCGAAAGGACAATACATATGTTAAAAATATATTTATTTAGATGATTCGGTAATTGAAAGCGATTCAAGTGTCGAGAACGGTGAACCATTATTAGCCGAGTCGATGCCTTACATTGCATATGGAAAAATGACGGTTATTGGTGACGGTCAGCAGATTCTTGTCTATATCTGCTAGTTTAGGTCAATTTATTACTTTGTTCAGATAATGCAGATGCTGCCACAGATAATAACGGTGACTCAAAAGTTGGACACAAAGCTGCGTGTATAACCATAAGCAGAAGCGACGAGGGTAACACAACATAACTCTTTAAGAGCTTGGTAACCGACTTCTTCGTTTAGGCTCGATTAACATGAGTACAGAAGCTGATACGCTTGTACACTCGGCTGCTGATGTTTGGCCGTACATTGAAGATGTCTGTTTGCTTTTCGATGTACTGAGCGTTCTATTGATGTGTATATGTATGTACTGTTTTAGAGTTAACTGTACCCGAACAAAATGGTTTGTCATTATTAGCAACAACCAGTGCCGTAACTAGTTTCACTGCAGCGAATCATGAATATCCTATGCTAAAGAACATTGCAGCTGAAACGACTGATATTGTTGGTGTTACTGCATCAAAACAAAGTTCAGATTTGAAACGTTCTTCTGAAGAAAATGTTGTTTATTTGAAATATTGGTAAAAACAATGGTGATCGATTGTGTGTACAGATGTTTGTCTTCTTTGTTACATCACTTTGTATTTTCTATTGCAGAGTCTA